CAGCCTTATTTTATAATATAAAAAAAAATTCAACTAAAACAAGCACATATGGGTATAATGTTTCCCTTCTTTAATGTAACGGTACAGAATAAATTCATTGAAATTCCTTCATGCATAGATTGGCTTATCATTGCTAAGACTTTTTAAGAAGTCTGAAGCCAGATTTAATTATTATTTAAAGGCAAGTTATTCGTTTAGACGACTAATATAAGAATAGATTTAGGGATACTTCATTAAAACTTTAGGAACGCAAAATATAAAATAGTATAGAAATCTATTCTCAGATTAAAACTCGATCAGGTATGTTCAATATAATCTCGCAAATCAAAATCGATAACTAGCTTATGTAATATACATAAATACATTTACAAACTTTAATCCCAGTGGTATAATAAAAGGCCTCTGGCCACAGATGCAAAGAACGCATACAGCGTGCATAACCCTCTTACCTTAAAATGCCCTTGGGCAATAAAAGGAAATTTGATTTATGTATATATACATTGTATTATTGGAATCAAGAAATTCCTGGGGGGTAGAAAAAAAAAATTACAAACTTTAAAATTGCATGTCACTTATTATCAGTTCCAAAATGATCGTTTTATATGATCTTTTTTCTTACTTGTTAGATAATGAGGATAGAAAATAATCATGATATGAAGCCTTTATATGATTTTTAGGCTTATCGAATTTTCGACCAAAGTGTTCGGTCAGCATTAGGCAGTGGTTACTAATTAGCTTGACGACAAGAACCCATTGCCATAGATACTTATAATCATAGTAAAAAAAACCTGTACCACTACAACACATGAAGGTTCTGGGGTTCAGTACTATTTAGAGAAAGCACTGTTTCTAGGTCAACGGTTGTGCAAGGAGGTGATTTGACCGAGATCACGCTCAACCGCCAGGTTTTCCCCCTTAATCAATTATTTAATTAAGAGTACCCACTTTATAGAAGCTGGGTGTGCCCCAGGAGGGTTTCCCGACCCAGGGTAGCCCCACGGCCAATGAAACAGATAAATAAATTTTCTGCCATGAGCCGGGGTTCGAACCGGGGACCTTATAACCATAAGGTATAATCATAGGACCTTATAATCATATCACACTTATAATCATGTAATTATTAAATAATATTTTTTTGTTATAATTATATATTAAATAATTATATATTTGTTTTTGTTTTCTTAACCCCATAGGATGTGGCGTTAAAAACACAAGGTAGGACGAGGCTTAAACATGTATGGCACATAGTGCATTTTAAGAGAGGAGTGGGGAATTGGGAGTACTGCATTTAAATTTTATTTAGTCCTAACCAGGAAGAGAAGCTCCATATAACTTCATGACGAGTGAATAATCAAGAAATCTAGCAAATATTTATTACGGAAATTAAATATAACAACTCAATAATTATTTCTGGTGTATTCTTGATCTAAAAAAGAACACATCACTAATACACAACAATGAAAAAATAATAATTTTAAGAATATAGTAACATTTTTTCTAGGTGACTCAAGTTTCATATTGTCTTTTCAATCTAATCAATATATTTTTTCTTGATTCTTTTCAAGTTGTATAATTCTATTGCATTATATGATCCACCGAAAGATAATACCAGGATAAGGAGTGGAAAATCAAATGAAGACGTTACGAGAGTGCATGCTGTATTGTGTGCGTAACAGCTTTATTTAAAATTATCAGTGAAGTTATTGAACACGTCAAATATGCAGCAAAGTGCATACACATCCTTGAAATATGTTGGCAGCTTTGAATAATTCATAAATCGCTTTTTCAGTCTCTTGGAAATGTATCTAGGCATTCCTTTTCTAGAATGTTCTGGTATATTTCACTGCGTAAATCTAACCTTTATGACTAAGCTTAAAACTTATTATTCCTCTTTAAGCTTGGAAATTTATATATCCAGTGCTTGTCATAATATACACATATAATGTGGAGACAAATCACAGGATGATTTGTTAACCGAACGCACTTGTCAAAATTGGTTTGCCGAATTTCATTCAGGAATATTTTACATCTGTGATGTCCAACGATCTGGTCGTCCACATGAAATTGAAACGAGCAATGTTGATCAAAATACCACCCAATCAGTGCGAGATATTGTTATGACCTTAAATATGATGCCCACAAGTGTAGAAAACCATTTGCACAAGCTCGCCTATGTTTTCGGGCTTAATGTTTTTTTTTTCTCGAAAATCACACATATATATATATATATATATATATATATATATATATATAACTTCAATACGAATATAGCTATCTACAAGAAATTTAGCAGGAATTTAGGGCCACATAAACTACAAAAAATGACATTAACAGGACCTTTAGGAGTTTTTGCTTATTTATGCTTATTCCTTATGTAGGCATTAAATAAAACCATTCATACGGCTTTGAAGAGCAATAATTCAGCTTTCCAACACATGTAATAACACCGAATTTGGAGAACATCTTTTAGTTATGAATTATGAATGATAGGAAGGGCGTTGTCTTCCACCAAGACAAAAGAAAGAAGACAAAAGACAATCTATGCCCCATACCTCATGGGTCACTCGCAATAAATTATTGAAACTTTTGATGGGACCTTTTGCCTCATCTCCCCTATTCACTTAGCTCCAAGTGACTACCACTCATTCCGGTCTCTGCAGAACTCCATGAATGAAAAGGAATTCCAAAATGAAGAGGACATAAAAAAACATTATCAGAACCAGGATCAGTTTTTTAACAATAAACTTCAGACATTCTATGAACATTATGCAGTTAGTGGAAAGATGGGAAAAAGTCATATTAAATAATGGTCAATATATTGTGGATTAAAATAAATTTTATGTCTACAATACACTGAGTTTTATTTCACCCTGAAAAACCGAAAGGACTTATTTGCCAAACACAGTACAAGCATCCGTTCTTCAGTTCGGTATTTAGTTTTAGGGTAAAAGTATATTAAATAATGAGGAATAAGTAACAGTAAATAATAAGTACCAGTCCTAGGGGCACCCGCCACACTTTAGGAAATTAAAGAAATTACATAACGATTAATTTTATCTTTTTAATAAAGCAACTGAATCAGAGACATGCTAATGAGTTAATTGTTTTTTTTTTTTTTATAGGAGTCTTACGTTCTTGCGCAGGATGTCAAATGCCTAAGGACGACACTGAAATAATATTATATTTAAATTAAATACCATTAACATTAATTTAAGAGACCTGAAGGGCGATAAATAGTTTGGGCCAGTAAGTCACCCTATTTTCAAAATGATACGATAATTTAAAATTTATAGTTTTTAATGTCTGGCATAGTTAACTCATATAACCCTAAAGAATACAAGTTTCGAAGATTTTTAATGAAATGAAAAATAAAAAGGCAATTTTTACCAATATTAACAATGCAACTTGTTCTAACTATTTAAATATATTATAGAGGTTTTTGTTGAATTCTCATTATATTTTTGTTGTGTATTTTTTTGAAATGAATCAAATAAGTTGTTTACTCTAGGGATCCTGGAATTTCGTTTTTCCATCGGAAAGTACCTAGTAGCTCCAACGATCCCCAAAGAGTTGCTGTAATCAAAGTGTTCTTTGAAACCTCTGGTAATGATGAATACAAAAATCAGCTGAGGTAACTTAAGGTTTTGGTAATTATCTAGAAAATTCAGTCAAGAAACATACCGAAATCGAGCAACAAAAATACCTACCTGTGTCTAAATAAATTTTTATCTAATATAATTTATTCCTTTCTGTCATAGAAAACTAGAGGAAAAGTATAGAAAAAAAAATGAAAGAAAATGCAAAAGGTAAAGATTGAAGAGGAATTCAAACGATTTCGTGACTCATCATTGATACTGGGGTATATTGTTTACAGCTCGCTATTTGAGTTTATCTCCTTTTAGTTGTAGGTTGATTTGCTCTTCTCTTCTAACTATGTCCTATTGATCGTAATATAGGTAATAGATATTTATAATTAATTCGGTCAACAACCTTATACAATAAATTTACATTTTTACAACATTTTACATGCCAAATATATTTTATTTATTATTGAAAAAAAATTAACAACAATAACGATTGGCCTAATCAAAATGGCTTTATTCTATATTAATTCAGACACGCTATAATAAATTCCATTTTTTCAAATATATTGTGTTAATCGAAAGTTTATTCTGAATTTTTGCCTTTTTTACGAGTATGTCTTTCCGACCACTATGCGAAGTCCAAAACCAATCCTGCAAGATCAGCCTTTAAGCAATCCTCCCATCTTTGTTTTAGTCAAATTCATGGCTAAATTGAAAACTAAATATAATATTCGCTAAAATATTGATGGAATAGTAAATAACAAATGGCAATACACAAATTGAAGAGAAGGATGTTTGGGGGAAGGGGGGAGGGAGGCGATAAGTCAAAGTATAAATAAATAATTAAATTTATTATTTTATTTATTTTTATTATTTTTTATTCTGACTGATCACCTCAACCATCCTTCTCTTCTCAATTATTCACTACAGTCAACCATCAATCCACAATCGGGAATATACAAAATATTTTTTTAAGTACAAAGCAGGGCGAAAATAAATCCAGGAACCATGAAATGGTAAGGAAGCTGTGATGAATTTTACACATAAATAAGTGAATATAAAAAGTTTGAAAATGTAGTGAAGAAGAGCTTGACATAACCTTGCAAAGCAGAACACCAATTTCGAACTCGACAATTCTTTTACGTAACACGTTATGCTTTATACGCAGACTAGTGCAGAAAGGAGAGGTTATCTACAGTTTATCATCCTATCTAACCACAGTGGGTGCGGCGAGGTATGAACTACCACTCCTAACCTGGAATCAACAATACTTCAGCTATAATGCGGGAAATCCCACCAATAACCGATAATGGCAGGACGTGTAGTTCAACAAATCCACACTTCCTTAGAACTTGTTTTAATTTAAATACCCAATAATGATGTACGGAAATTAATTATGAGAAATGGATAGCTTACCTTCCTGGAAGACCTGGGCTCGGTGATGAGAGGCGCCGCAGACCACCGCTTGGACGCGTCGGTGCTTACTGGGGGACCACCGACCGCCTCGCCGTTGGTACTGCCTTTAAGGGTAATCAAAAATTAATTTAAAATAAACTATTATTTAAAATATTATTACTAAAAATAATATTTAAAATCATAAAATAACATGCATATATGCACCATTTCTGAAATTATCCAAAATACCATAAAAATGCAACATTTGCCTACCATATCACAGAGGATTATGGAATCATGTGTCATATAACTGTTGCATTATACGTATTATTGGCTTAATTTCTATATACCTACTGGTGCCCGAAATCGGCCTTGATCTTATACTCTTGCACTTTGGTTTTGCAGTTGTACTTTGCAAGACCAAGACCGCCTAATTATTGCAGGACCAGTACCAAGATTGGTCGAAAAAAAAAATCTGAATAAAATGTAAGGCAAAATAGTTTCTAATACTAGACATTTTATTTACTAGATAATTTTATTTACTGAATACTTAATGGTTAACCGTGGTATATTATTGAGTAAGGAGATGGTCCGAGGAGGCTGAATTTAGCTTGAAACTGAAACTCAATTTTAACCGGAACTCCATCCTAATAACACCCAGCTTGAAATAAAATATTTTTTCCCACTATTTTAGTGTTTTTATGACCGCCAAGCCGAACCATTCTCTTACTCAATAATTTTATTTCCATTCTATATGTAAAGGATTGGCAGAACTAATATACTTTTGCATTTAACTGTTCCGATTTTTCATTCGAGGTTTAGTTAGGTTGCCTGATTTTGAAAAATGACGGTAATATCTCTGTAATATGTAGCGGTAATATTTTTTTCAAACTCCGACAAAACTATAAAAAAAATAATTGTCTTAATCGGACCTATTTTAACAACGGTACAGTTTATTGAATTTTATGCCTTGATTTTAATAATTGTTCAGTTACACATTTATATTGCTCCAATTCATCAAAACTATCGAACTCTAATGATTTCTCTGATCGGTTATTAGGAAAATTAGTCTAATTCAATAATTTTTAATGAACATATTTAAAATAGAAATAAATACTTTAAAATCAGTAGGAAAGTCATTTGAGTAGGCACACCAATTTATTTATTTAAATAATTGGTGACATTGTACAGATTATCGTTACACTATAATTCTTCCATTCCAAAGTTTAAGTCTATCACTATCTTTCTTGATAATTAATGTATTGTCAAGTTAATTTCGTTGGACTTAACTATGTTTATGTCAATAAAACATCGAAATGTACCTATTATGTATTTAATGAATGACAGTATGCTAACACGTAACTGCGAGGCTTGCTAGACTTGCGCACAAACAAGACGAGTCTTTATCTAGCATTTAGACAATACTATCTATACCAGTGTTCAAAAATTCAAGCATGCGAGCCAAATGGGGCTCCTAGACTCCTTGAATGTGGCTTTTCTACAGAGCGCTGCAACTCGCATCTTTCTTACTGCTTGTAAAAAAGCAACAGTTCTTACAAATTATTACAAAAATATTAAAAAAACGGACATCCTATTCGTTTCCATTTTGAATTCTTCGTTTATTTAATGATAAGCCAAAATAAGCGTTTTGACAAGAATGAAAAAGTTCCTGATTTTAGGAAAACATTATTCAAATTGATTATATAGTAAAATATTTGTTTACTCTATTATCATTATCATCATTGTACATAAGTTGTTATTTCAAAATAAATTAGTAAATTATTATTAGCAAGCATTATTTTAAATCAAATATTTAAATAATCATGTTTGTTGAACATTTGAAATAATTATTAAAATTTTCTTTAAAATTTGTAATAGTTAACTATTTAATGGAATTCATAATAGAACTGATCTATATTATATTGAAACTGGACTTTTTTTACAATGGACTGACCCAACAAACGGAATGAAAAACTAACAGCAACGACACAAGTAGCAAAAGAGATATCGAAACAAAAAAACTTTTGAGAAACGTGTGACGGAATGGTATTTGATAAATAGAGCAAATGAACGAAAGGATATAGACGACCCAATAAATAACTTAAATAATAATAATAATAAGACCTACTATGCAGTACACCTTAAACATCACTCAAAACAAATTTCAATTGTTGCTATCTTAATATTTGGCTCCTTTGACTGATGGGTTTACCGGCTATTTTGGCCTTTATTTCCTACTTTTCAAAAAGTCGAAACTCAGAGATTAATTAAAATATATTAGATTTACCGATTGGTTCCTATTTTTATATATATTTTAGAAATAACGCTAATCAAGCAAAGAGGAAATATAAAACACCACTGTAGCACAATGCTCGACAATAAGCAAAGTTATAGAACTCCTCAGCTAAGATAATTTCATGGTCCAGCTGCCCACTGAATCAAAAGGTGGAACTTACAGGATCTTCACCCCGGTTACGGACTTCTTATGGCCAAACGAGATTGCTTAAGTGGGCTTCATGTAATGACTAAATTGTTTCAACAAAACATTTACTCGATATATCTTGAGTTTTACCTAAATGTTTGCGGTTAAAATTATTAATTTTACATACAAAGACATTTTTTCATAGGTTGAATTAGGTATTTTTAAATGAAAACTACGATAAGTACAGCAGAAAACAGACAATCAATTTTCAATCTTAATCATTTAATACAGTTTGTTTACAAAATTTTAACACGCAGTACCCGATCTACTTTAGACAACGCACTTAGATAGAACAAATTAAGCAGTTTATAAATCGTCTTTTAAAAAATGGCTTTTTGATTATTGATAGCCTGAAATATCGAAACGTATTAAATTCATTTATCCAAGTACTATTTACGTCTTTAGAATCAATCATGATAATTAAAAATAAAACTAATATCACGAATCATATTTTCAAACAACGAAATTTATGTTCAGCAAGGAATTTCAGATGTTGCGAAAATCTAAACTGCAACTTCAAGAGTCCATAATTTATATCGATCTGTTAACAAGCACGGGGAATACACACCATGGATTACGTAAAAGTGGGCATAAGAATAGAGCAATGGCTTATATTACGTATATGTCCACATGAAAGTGAATATCAGTACGAAATAGAAAGCTGTGTTGATATATAATTCATGAGGAGATGTTAATATGAGACGATATTGGCAGTTTTCTCCGCCTACTGGACGACGAAATGTTATGAATTCAGAGAGGTTCTAAAACATATTGATTAAAACCACACGTTAGAAATATAATTCAGCAATAATTAAATATTACATTTGACAATAAAAATACTTTTATGGTGAAACCTAAACTTTCAACGCTCGATTAAGAATCAGATGAAGTACCATTCGGATGAAAAATAATCCAATATTGTACATTGATTTATAATTTTTAATACTCTATCAAGAACCCATTTATTTGTTTAAAAACATATTTAGAAGAGAAATGTACAGTCTTTAATGCTTACGGCATATTGGTTCGCGCAATTGACCAGTGTCATGCAACATAGCACAGCGCGATTTTTTAACATAAGCAAATGAATTAACATAGCGCAAATTGACAACGCGAAGCAGAACGACTCGCATGAAATTACAACTGAGACACAAAGTCTCGCAAAACGCGACACACGTCTCGCGTTCCCTCAGTACTCCGAAGCTATTCTATATTGCTCATGGATTTGTCGTCTAGGAAGATAAAAATTTCAGTTTTTTAGAGTGAGCGCAGTAACAAATCATCTTTAGCAGCACTATTTGAATCAGAGACCAACCTTAAGTGTAAAAACTATAATTTTATTCGAGAATCACTTAATTTTCAAATAAAAGAGTGCTGTCCAATTATATTGGGTTGTGAAATACACAGAATACTAATTAATTGTTAATGACAATCAATAAGAAATATATATAAACATACAGAACTATTTGAATACATAAGAGTAAGAATAATATATATATATATATCTTTTTTTTGTCCTTTTTAATACATTTTTTTCTTTAACATTTAACTTCATCTTCTCTCCGTACTCAATTTTTATATTTCTCTTTTGTTCCACAAGTATTATTAATAATAATAATAAAAGGCTTAGCGAACCCGAAGGTTCGATGCCGACACCACTAATTGCTTGTTACACACCTCCCTCCACCGTTCGCCGTCCAAACCCAGTCCCTTCAAATCGGCTTTAATGCAATCTTCCCACCTTCGCTTCGGTCTACCCCTCGGACGCTTACCATTCGGCACAGCAAATATTAACCTTTTAGGAATTCTCTCGTTAGTAAGCCCAACAACTTTACAAGCCCATTTGATTCGCCGCGATGAAATTACCTCAATTATATTACCCGGATACAGCTCACGCAATTCGGCGTTGTGTAACCGTCTGAATTCTCCGGTTAACTCATCCTTCTTCGGTCCGAATATTCTACGCAATACTTTATTTTCAAAAACCTTAAGTCAGCGGCCAAGTTTCACATCCATAAAGAACTGTAGGCAAGATAATTGTTTTATAGATTCTAATTTTTAAGTTCCGGGACAAGAGGCGCGAACTGAGTAGTTTTGTCACAGAAAAATAACAAGCATTTCCCGACTTCAGTCTAACCTTAATCTCTTCTTCAATTTCGTTTTTTCTAGTTATCGTAGAACCTAGATACCTAAATTTATCTACCTGTTCAAACATATTACCGTCCATATCGATATCACCAGTAGTATCGCCATTTTTGCAGCTAACCATATATTTTTTTTTTATCCACGTTTATTTCGAGTCCTAGTTTTTTACAGGCTTTCATTAACGTTGTCGTATTTAGTTTTATATTTTCAACGTCTTCGCTTAACAGTACCAGATTAAAATCAACACAAGTATTAAAATGTTTAAAATTATACATTAGAAACAACAAAAGAAAACGTGTATATACAACAAGAACTCATCTGATAACTGTCACAGTTAAAAAAATTGCAAGTTACGATAAGATGAATCAATTCATGAAGTTTTTAACGTATGGCGATGATTTGAGAAAAAGGTGCCTGTACCACGGACTATTTGTTATATAACATACGTTAAAAACGTCACCGTAGCCTATTTGTAAACATAACACACTTTGAAAGTTG